TTAAAAAAAAAAAAAAAACATCGATAGCCTTCACAATTCATCGATCAATTAACAAATATCAGAGTTAAGACATAAAATTATTCTGTGACATTTTCTAACATTATTCAATCAACTAATAAAACGTAGATATACCTTTGAAAATTTTCAGGGCTCGTGAACAAATGTATTTATTTCGAATTTCGAGAGATTACATACTTTACACAGTTTTTCTAAGAATTAATCATCTTTGCATGTTAATTGTAATTGTAGTTTCGTCAATATAAACAATCCTTTTAATCGTGCCTTTGTTTACCTTTCAATTGAAAATGTAGGGTCTATACACGTTGAACACAAGAATTTCAAAGAGAGGCAGAGATAAAAAAATTATTTAAACGAGGATTTTCGTGTGATTGAATCATTACAAACATTCAAGTATAAAAAAAAAAAAAAACAAGCGAGAACGTGTACAATGTCATAAGCCTTTATTGATGCACTGAATAAACAATACTTCTTTTTTTCGAATCAGTGTAATTTAGTACTGTACTTATACTGAATTAACTTACTACTTACTTGAAAAAGTACTGATATTTATATAACCATTGTACTACTCATGAAAACTCATTTTTAAATACGTTTTTTACACGAAATCATTAACCGTTCTATTTTTTACCGATGACTCATTTATACATTGAAGTATAGTAGCTTCTGGATATTAGAATTAGACCAAAAAATTACCGAACATCGAAAAAATGTATTCAGAACTGTCAACCATTACCTTGGGAACAGAGGGGGAAGGGGGGAGTGAGAATGATTTTTTTTTTTTTTTAACGCAACGTAAAACAAAGAGGGGACAACGTGTCGTGTTTGCATTTAATTTATAGTCCTTTAAAAACTTTTCCCCCACTTTAAACAACAACTTGCATATATGTTTGTATTTACCAGAGCAAAAAATGAATATCAAAGGAAGGGGGATGACTTCTTACCAAGTCAGCGAATGAAATGCGAGTCGAGAGAGCTCTGCATTGTTTTGAAAACGCAGTTAGAAGGAAATAAAACCTTTACCAATCAATACATTATTTTCTCGTGAATCATGTGTGCAGGGTGGTTTGTATATACATTTTACAGTATATGCTGTGCGTATAATTGCGCAACTGTGCAAAACTGCGAGAGCAAAACAGAGAAAGAAGAGAAGAGAGAATAATAAAAAGCGCGGCTTCCGGAGGGGAAGGATGAATATAGGTGGGAGGGGGAGGGGATAGGTCTGGTGGTGGTGTGCCTCACGAACGCTTGGATATATTTTATATATTATGTTTTGTTGTGTGGCACCTGACGTCACTTTGCCGTGAGCTGCCATCGCACTCCGACCCGCCCGTCCCGTCGTCGACGACTAAGTAGCACCGACTCGTATGTAGAAGTATTTTTCTCGCCCGCGGATACCTGGTGGTACAGGGAGGTGGTGGCTTCCTGAGTTGTACTATTAGGTCGTCGTCAAGAAGAACGTGCGAGGGGAAAAGCTCCCTGGAAGACTGCAGCTGTACGACGACGAGGACCGGGTCGGTGCATTAAAGAAGAAAAGTGAGAAAAGAAAATCAACAAAAAGCTTTTTTTTTTTTTTTGTTGTTGCATCTACCTATAGCACGCGCGGTACCATGTGTAGCACTCGTGAAGAGATTTCCCTACACCTCCTTCCGCTTTGCTCTGATGTCGTCACACGCAGCCGGCAGTGTTTTCTTTTTTTCTTCGTGCGAGCGAAAGAAAGACTGAGAGCCGGGGGGTTATTTTTAAATCGGCCGCGACGCAGAACGACGGCCCGGCCCCGGAGTGTAGCGTAGCCGTAGCTCACCAGCAGTAGTCTCAGAGAGACAACAGCGAGAGTCTTGTCTTCGCTTAGGACTCTGGCAAAAGCTTTGGTGTGCGCGAGGAAGCAGCGGCAGTCTTTTTCTTTCTTTCTTTCTTTGTTTTTCTCGAAACGAAAATTTGCCTCTTATCTTTTCCACGAATTTTCGGTATTTTAGTGCGCTTGTATAATTACCTACGCTCTTACATACATTTTGTACTTACTATTCGTGTACATAGGTGTATAGGTTGTACATACACAATTAAAAGTATGGCTGCACTGTTTCATCGCGCGCGAAGCTTCACCGGGAGGTCCGGGAGCCGGGTAGACGAAGAGGACGAAGACTTATTTGCGGTGGGTCGTGGGTGTGTTGTGTTGTGTGCAATCATGCATTCCTTTCGTAATAGTTTTCCCGTTTTGCAAAATCACGTGATGGGAAAAACTCGAGATAAAAACAATTTTCGCCGTTGAAAATTGCTGATTTGTTCTGGGATTTTTTACGCTACTTATCACGTTATTGTTTACATTAACTTATTGTAAGTGACTTTTTATCCAAACATTGTTTTTTCTCTCTGTTTTAGACAATGGCAACTACAATTAACAGACCACGAACGATTAAGAAGCTGGAAAAGCCTCGGCCGCTGAAGATCAGCCAACGTAGCCCAACGACCGACACGCGGATTACGACTGGTAAACCTGACAGATGCCATTTTTCTTATTTCACTTTGCCATTCCATATTGCACGTTTTATTTTCTTCTGCAAAATAATTTTCGAGTATTGGATGCCATCTGGGCTTTATTCAACTTTTCACGTGTTTTTTTAACTCATGACAGTCGATGACATTGTTTCACTGATTGACAATGTGGCCATGCACTTGAACAATGGCTTTTACGATCAGTCCCTGCAAAACAACATCGTTAGGATGTGCAATCATCTGAAGCTTTATTCCCAGCAATTGGAATTGATTTACAAAGGTGAGTTCTTTGCTTTGTATTTTTAAGCTTCTCGATATTTTTGTTTACCTCCTAAAACCAATATATTTTGAATTCAAGTAGAAAGCGGTTCAAATGTTATCTCTAACTCTAAATAATGTGTGTTTACCTATTTTGTTGTTTTAGATCAGCTGGATAGAGCATTCATTGCTATCAGAAATGGTAGCCAAGACGAAAGATTAGACATGACGACCAGGGTACACTTGTTGGAACTGATAGAGCTAAGAGCTAAACAATGGCACAACAATGAATCCATGCATGCCTATTATTCTCAGAAACTTTCCCATTTGGATGACGTGAGTCAAAAAAGTTTTCTTACAACTAATAAGGATGTGATCTAGCTACCCATGAAAAATGTATGTAAATGCAGCAAAATGAGCTGCTGACACCAGAAACCCCAACGCATTTGCTGACGCCTAACTTAGTGCCCATGAACTCGGCCTCATCACCTCTATTGGGACCTGGTGAAGTTATTAAGAATAGTGGCAAGTTTGTGAAGCCGACTCGTATTCCTGGTAAAAATTACTGCAAGGATGAAGTTGTCATACGAAATAGTGATTCCGGAAAAGGTAAGACTTGTACTTTATCCTTATTTTTTTTCAGAATGCGTAGATGGGCCATTTCGTAGTTTATACTTCTGTAAATCGCAATCTGCACTCACACTGATGAAATTACTTGTAAAATTTATTTATCAAAAGAAGGTTAACATGGTATAATTTTCAATTGAATTTGTAGACTGCTATGGTTTTTATTTATTTTTTAAATGAATTTGCACAAATGTATAGTGATGGGAATAAAAGGTCGACGAGTTCACATGATTGAAGAACTTAGCGAGACAATCATCTCCTTCCAAAGAGGTAAAGTGTAAAAAGTGGTGTGCTGGACATGCTTGTGATATAAGATGATTCACCTACAAGTTACTTGCTATTAATCCAACAATGACACCTTGTCAATAATTGCTCACATCATCAGTTTTGTTTGCAGCTTGTTGTTCATTAGCACCATATTTTTATACCTAAGGACTTATTAACATTATGCAATGAGGAAAGGTGCCCCAAGAATTTTTAGATAATTCGGCATTAAATTATGCTTGTAAATAATTTTTCCACTTTAACTAATTCTAACAGCCCCTTGAAGCATGGCACAGCACGTATCACATTAACACCTAAAAATTCTTGACAAAAGTGTTTAAATAACTCGTTTGTTATATTTTATTACTATAAAAATTAATTAGTTAAAAATAATGAAGACTGTTGAGTAGATTTTGGTACTCTATAAGTATGAAAAAATTCACACAAATCGAATTGGTACTATCAACGTAACATTGAGTTATAAATTTTAATCAATGGGGGTCAATTTTTTAAAATAATTAAACCCAAAGTTGTATAAGTAACGTGTTTCACATCGTTTCTATTTTAATTATTCATTATTAAAAACTTGAATTATTTTTAGTGAATCCTGGAGCTAAAGAACGACTTGTCCAGATAACGGGTACTTCCGAGGACAAGATACAGTAGGTTCCATCATTTGAGTGTTGGTGCTACAAGCACAAATAACGCAAGAAAATAATAAATTATTAACTTTCAGCTATGCGAAAGATCTAATCAAAGATACAATTCAACGAAACGCATCACCAGTGCGACTCGAACAAGGTGGACGAGAGAAGAGTGCTATTGGTGGCTCAAGTTCTTCCCTGAATAGCAGTAATTCGGATGAAAGTAACAGACTGCAACAGCATCATCATCAACAGCATCATTCTATGCGCTCGTCACTTCTCCACAGTCTGTCCACCAACGACGCCAGTATTGGCGAATACAAGTATACTGTTACAGTAGGACCACATGCTATTAAAATTACTGGAAGTAATTTGGATATTGTTCGGGCAAGTTTTTTAACAACTCAAATTGAGTGTTAACTTTTTACTATAATGTTTGTCTATTTTAATCATGACAAATCTGGATTCGTTTCGTTAAGGCGGCCAAGTTAGTTCTTGATGAATATTTTTCTGAGGAGTCTGAGCATTTCAATAGTGGAATAGCATATTTCACATTTAACGAAGACCCATTTGCTCAAGCTACTCCAACAACTCCTAGCACTCCCCTGTCTGCTGGTCAGGCAAATTTTCCTAGGAGAAATTTAAGTTATGAAGGTAGCCCAGCTATGGATACTGCTAAAACTAAAGGTGCTTGTATCCCTGAAATTGAACCCAAAAAAATTGGTAAGTTTTATTTTCACACTTAGTTTTGAAATCTCAACTCTCGAACGATGTCATTATTTTTTTGAAATCAAACATTTTGACGGACCTTGTTTTAATTTTGTTCACAGCATCTACGGAGCTTTCATACGAGTTTTTGATGCAATGTGCTAAGGGTCCGTTTGCTAAGCGACCTCCAGCTGACTGGGACCGCATACAGAAAGAGCATCCTAATATCGTTCGAAAGGTACAGGATACTCGTGTTATTACTAATAATGCTAATGATATTAACGAGCACTCGCTAAGCCCTCAACTGCACCCTTTTAACAATACTAATGTAACTTACAAGGCTGATAACTTCAAAAAATTTTGCGATCCTTCTACCAATTATGAAAATAACGGAATGCAATGGAAAGATATTGCAGTTGCTGTTTGCAATTAATCCTCGGACAGAACACAATCATAAAACATTTACCTGTTCAAATTTCATTCTTTTGAATTATAAAGAATGACAATTTTTTTTGTGTTAAATTATTTTAACTATTGATAAATAGTTGTGATATTAAAAAACTTATTGTTATTATCGAGCTGTGAAATGTCTAAACATGCGATCATCTCGCAATTTGGATAAACGTATTAAATACACAAGCAAAATAATAAATGCCAAAATATTCTTTAGTCAAGAAGATACTCAGTCAAGTTTTATAACATTACATTATAAGGTAAACTATTAAAATATTGAAAGTTTATAAATCTCATTAACTAAGTAGGAATGTGAGAAACTTGACAAGTTATCATGTAAGGATTTATACGAATTGCTATTTATGTAAAATTATTAGACGTAGATAATGTTAAGAACCTAAAACGTCTAATAAATAAGTAAATCCCAAATTTGGAAATATACTTGTAGACAATTCATTTTTTTATATTTCACAACTGTTCTCTATACGTTTTGAAACGTGTCAATCAATCAGAAAAAACTAGACAATTTCATTATTTTTTTTACTTATACTCATTGATCTATCAAATAAATATAGTTTGATGAATTATATTAATTGTGTTTAGTTAATCTTTATTTTATTTTCAACATTGCTAATATGTGCATGCTTCCACAATATTAATAACAATTAAGTTATATGCACATGCCTTATTTTATTAACTGTGTTGAATTGCATTCATCATAACTAATTATGTCTTTCAATCTGCTACTAAGGACAATACAAGGTAAGATTATAATTTTTCTACTAAATTACTTTGAGCTCGAAAAACATGTGTCTCACTTCCAAGCATAAAGAGGGTCCAAAGTACTTTTCACACCTTTTTCTCTTGAACACAAATAATTAAATAGTACATTATGCATCACCTAAGACAAGAAAGTACAGAATGTCCTAAATCGTGTGTTTAAAACGCTCAGTTTCGCCTCAGATGGCAATAACATTCTTCACTTCCGTTCTCGATGTGTACGATTTTTGTGTCTCAGGCTAGAAATATGAATTTTCTAGCCACTGGCATGAAAATGAGATATTTTCAGTGAAACTCTGCAGGATGAAATGAAAAAAAATTTAATTTTTTTGTAGTAGTTGATACTAATATCAAGTAAAATAAAAATTTGAATAGAGAATTATTAGATGTAAGAATCTACAAGAAAATGTGTGTTGGTTGTAGGCACCGATTCGCTGGTTCGAACCGGAAGCATATAAAGCAAAAGTAGCTGCAACAGGTTTCAGTACCGTGATATCTGTTGGTGAAATATTGGAAAACGATCCTGAATAAACTTGAACAGTTCAAGCGAGTAACATAAGTCGAAGTGAGTAAAATTTCATACTTTCATTTTAATAAAACGCGAGGACGCATTGGATTTTGTTTTAAAATGTGTAAAATTAGAGAGAGAAACAACTATTATATTCTAATGTGCCGCACGTTTTGGCTTCTTTTTTTTGGGAAAAAAGTGAAAAGGATCTGATTACAAAATTTTCAGAAGTTTGGCCATGAAAAAGTCAATCAAAGACAACTTTTGAAAAGGATACTCATTCAAACGGTGTGATCAAAAGTTCGAGGACTTACGCTACCAATCGACTATCATGAAAATAATAGACGTTTTTTCATAATGAGTCCTTTCCAGTCATCCCTCATGAACTTTTTTTTACGTACATAATGTGTATATGCAATAATTTTAGTTTGTATTGGAAGTTTTACGAAAAAATGGACTGTGTTCCATGAAAGGTAGCTGTAAAAAATAATGTGCAAGAAACGCACACCTGATTCATAAACTTGTTTGTAATAATTCATAATCTTTTATTTCAAATGTTACATTATTGATAAAACTGTATAAAATTATTTTTTAAAACAATGACGAGTAGTAATTTTTGGAAAATTTAAATTTTTAGGCACAGTTTGTACAACTGAATTTGCTTCCTGCATGATAAGTAATTTATGACGTTAGATATTCTTACGTCTTGAGTATTTTATAAGAAACAAAAGTTTTATTTCAACTAACGTAAGATTTATCAAGTTTTCCTTTAAACTACCCTTTCATGTTACAGAGCAATAATTTATTTGTAAATGCTTCTGTGTGATCAGTGAACTTATGAATAAGTACGAGCTTTCGCTTCTGAAAAAAAAAAAAAAAAAAAAAAAAAAAAAAAGGGTTTATACAGTTCGATCTGATGACAAAATTGAGTTGTACAAATTTTGAGTAAAAATAAGTACACATTTATTAAATAGTCTAGTCCCATTTTCCTTTTTTAGTTTTGATTAAATCTTTTTCATGAAGTGACGTGTCAAAATGGATATTATACATACACTAAAAAAAGTATAAATTGTTATAGAGCTTCGCGTTGACATAAAATTTAAAAATCTTAAGAATATATTAAGTTTGTTGAAGCTCGAAATTAAAAAAAAAAGCTTGCGTAACGCGAACAATTTGATTGTCCCGTTATAAATTTAAGCCTAAAAAATGTGTTGGAATATGGCGACTTGCATTTTTTTAGTCAATTATTTGAAGAAGATAAGACATTCGTAAAAGTAAGTAGATAAAAATTCCCAACAAAATTTGTTAAAAAAAAAAGTGATAAAAACATTAGTTAGTAAAAAAAAATAAAAAAAGTTCGAGCAATAAAAAAGATAAATGAAACGCAAATCGCGCTTGCATTTTCTAAAAAAAATAAAAAAAACAATCAAGAGCCACTTAAAGAAAAAAGGAACCTAGTCTGAAAAATTTGTTTGTGATTTCGTTATTTGTTGTCCCTTAATATTTATTTTTCATCAAATCAATATTACTAAGTATACCTTTTTAAAAAAATGGTAAATTTCATGTTTTTATACCTACAATATGTTTTGTTAAGTGACTACAGAAAGTGACGTCTCAAAATATATGTTATGTTTGTTAATTTTTATTATGTCTACAAAATATCGCTAGATGCAGTTTGTATGTATTTATGGACAAAAATGGAAAAAAAATACCATCGAGGTGTTTTACTAATTTATTACGAATTTTTACTAACTGTAATTATAAAAATATTACAGAGTAATGCACTGTATCAATGTTTCCTTTTTTAATAAATTTTAAACAGTAAGAAAATGTTTTTATAATTAAGGTATGGTTTATAAATGGTTGCAAATTTTATAAGTACACATACTTTAATAATCCTTTTATACAAAAGAGTTTTTGACACATACATAAAAAGGACTTGCAAATCTCCTACTTCGAGTAAACATTTTTTCAAAAACAATCGCTCTTGAAAAATAGAAGTTATTTTTATGATTCATTAAATTACTGGCATTGTTGGCTTATATTGTAACATAAACTTTCTTTTCATTTATGTAAGAAAAAATATCAATGACTACGACAGAGGTGTATCATCATGGAATGATTATTGAATCATTTGTTACTTATTGTTATAAAAACAATCTAATGTTTTACTACAATCCTCCACTGTTACTCAGGTCAGTAAACTAACCCAATTTGAATGCGCTTTAAAATTTTTCAACAAATTCACTACATTGATGGGAATCTGACTTTGCCATTATATGAAAGTGTAAGAGCAAAAGATTATCACTATTCCCAAAGATCTTCGTAATTTTATATCAGTTGTTTCAACTGCATGAATATTTATAATTTTCATTAGTTAATTCATTGCTTATTTTTTTTTTCTTTCTAATCTTATTCCCTGCAATGAAAAATAGTTTCTATGCAATTAAAATTTTTAATTAACTATGCATACAACTTTAACGGTTGATTGTGATGGTTACATCTAGTAAAATTCGTTTTTTGTTGCAATTGTTTAGTGAACTAGACTTCACGAATGAATTTATAAATGAATTACCCTTAAAATAGACTTACAGATGTATACGTCATTCCATAACTTAAAAAAATTACAATTATCATTACAAATTACTTTTTATTAGAATTTATATTATAAACCTTCCCTTGTTTGAAACAATTTACTAATTCTAAAAGAGAATGAATAAAATATTGCTTTTGTCAAACATATTTTTCACTGTTACATTTACCAAACAAATATCAACTATTGAAGACTACACATTTACTTGTAAAAAGTATAATTTTAAATCATAGCTGACAAAATACTTACTTCTTTTGCACGCTTTTTTAAATTTATATACTTATTAATATCAAAGTATATCCCATAAAAAGTAAGGGCCCTTAAGTGAAAGATCTATAGTTTTATAGAATTTTATTTTATTTTTTTACTACATATACGATAAATTACTTTGCATGAGTGTATTTATGTATAAGAGAATATTACATGATTCAGACGAGTATATTCAATGCAATGCTTAAAAAGTATGAAATCATTGTTTGTGATGTAAAAAGCGCGTTTGTACAAATGTATTTCCATAACCTTAGGAAGCTTAATGAAAAACTACATTTGAGTGTATCTTAGAATCTTAATGAAAATTTTTTTTACAGTCGTGATAAAAAGTGTTATAAATAGGGGAAATAATACTTTATATACATATAAAAAATCTTTATTACTGTTTATTGTATGTATATGTGTATACTGAACCACTTTTTAAATTCAACAATAGGTAAGAACGTCTTCAAATTTAATGTTTGCTTTCACTTCGTGGCATTTATCAATAAAACCTGGGTTATTAAGTAACTATATAGTTTATGCTACGAATACAAACCTGTAATTAAAAATTATGTTGATCTTTCTTTCAACTTTGAATATATATCATTATTTATTGGAGTGACAATGATTCAATTTTGTACTGACCAATTGAACGTTTGCTACAATTATACTACACATGACTGAATTAAAAAAAAATTTTTTGTTTTATTTATCTATCAATTATATGCACGGAAACAGGAAAATTGAACAACAACAACAATTTTGTCTCAAATTTTAAAATTGACTTATTGATATAAGAAAACATCAACTTTCAATACAATTACAAAAAAAAAAAAGATCTATCAATCTTATACAAATTAATTCCTTGAAGGATTATCTTAGAAAATTAAGATAAGGTAAATTGCATTTAATGTATCCGGACAACTACCTAGATTATTATACATCTCGATAATTATCCTTTTAACAGTTGATTATCTAGACAATGTACAACACTTACTCACGCACGCAGAATTTTTTTTAATAGATTATGAAAAAAGTTCATATTGTTCTAGACGTCTTCTCAACTAAATTAAAATTGACTAAAGAGAGTAGTCGCACTGCTGCGCGTCGCCGAAATTCGCGAGGTTAAAAAACGTAGTCGGCTCCTGCCATGTCTATTGCCCAACGGAACTTATCTCGCTGTGTCTTGTTATAAATCTTTTCTATTGGCACGTCGTGTTTCTTACACCTTGTACATGAAAAATTTATTTTAATTTTTAATAATTTTTTGTTTTTACTTAATTTTGTATTTAAATTATACTCACCACGCAACAGAGATACGAGGATCAAGATAATTCAATTTACTGGTGCCTAGAGCAATTTCCTTATTTTCTTCCTTATCTGTGACCTGAAGTTCTAATTTATGTAACTGCTCTTTGAGTTTTTCCAATTGCTTCTTTTTTTTCTCATACAACCTAAGGGTATAAGATTTTTCATAAGAATTAATTACAAACAGAAATTTCAAATAAAAGATTCAAGAGTTACGTACACTTTTTCTTTAACAGAGCCACGTTTTGCGTCTTGCTTCATTCCTTTGATATTTTTCTCCGCTTCAGCAATAACTTCCTTCTTTGCATCAATCTTGCCTTTTAGATTCTCCATGGATTTACCGTGAGTTTTTGGAACAGCTCGCTGATGGTTACACAATATCGCGACAGCACGATTCGCTCTATTGTAGGATAGAATTTTTTCAGCTACCGTCGAATCAGGATCAGTAAGCTTATCCAACTGTTGTTGCAGTGTCCAGGATGCGTTAAAAGTCCTGAACACTTTGGCAGTAAGACCTTCCATCAATTCGTTTAAGTGTTTGTTCATAATTGTAGTATTAAGACGATCGAAAAGTTCATCGCTTGGTGCTTTGTTGTCCATGAAGAGTTGAAGACTCTTGAAAACGCGTTTTTCGACTGGTACTTTGTTATAGTATCGAATTGAGTCTTTACCTAGGATTCAAGAGAAATGTGATTATTTATTGGTACTTAAAAGTAATGGAAAAATTAAGTACTAATTTTATGAGCTTACCTAAGAAATCAAATTCAACTACGAATTCTTTTCCATCCATTTCTTCGTGTAATTTGATATGTTCCACGCGCAAGGAGCAGCAACCGACTGTGTCAGCTTGATCCTCGTCTTTCTCATTACCAGCTCTCAAAGCGAGCCTGTCAATGAAATATAATGCAACAGCCCTTTGCCTAACTCTCATCTCTTTACTCTTCCAGTCGTCGCGGTAAGTTGACCTAATTTTATCTACAGATTTAGCAAGTTTCCTAGCAGTCTCATACTTTTGCCAATCCTTCTCACCTTTAAGTTTACTTGAAGGATTTAACATGACATATTTGACCTGGCCCTGAACATTTTCAGTCCAGGAAGCCAACCAAGTTACAGTGGGATCATGCCTGACTTCTCTCCACTTGTGACCGGGTGGAGGTTTAGGGATTAACGAGTCTTTGGAGCAGTTGATCAAAACATCTTCTGGTACAACTCGCTTTTTAAGTTTTCCCATTTTAGGATGTTCTCCACGACCTCTGAACAAACCTGGTGGTTCTATTTTGAAATTACCTATTTTTTCTTTGTGACCGTCAATTGTGCAAATACCATATTCCTTTTGAATCTCTTCATTCTGTTCTTTAATAGCCTTTTTTTCTTCTTTAGACATTGCCTTACGCTCCTCGCTTTTCTGGGTAAAATACTTGTTAATTTCTGTAAAGTTACATTTCTTCAAATCAGTGATCTTGGATCGTTCAGAGTCTGTCATGACCTCACGCCAGTCGTGGAAGAAGTTGTCATTGAACACTTGTTTTGTTGTATAATCATGTTCCAACATTTTACCGTAGAAGGTGGCAATTTCTTCAGCTTCTATAGACAATTTCATTTCTTTGCCATTGTAATAAAATTTAACACTACTGGGTAGTGGTTCGTATAGCGGTGCAAATACGGGTCCTTTGTGTTCCAAGAAATGCCACTTGGTTCCGTCATCTCTCTTTTCTTCCTCCCACCTGAAAATAATAATACAAACGTCCACCGTACAGATATCTTTAAGAATGAAGAAGATATTTATGTCTGTGGAGGTTAACTTAACCTTAAATTCGATTTTCTACAGGATTTTAACTTCGGGAACTTCGCTTTTGAGCAATAAGAAAAACAATGAATATTAACAACGGCACTACTTTTGTTCACAAGATATTTGATCATAAACTCTAAAGTGAAATTCATTACTTTTATCTAAAGTTTTAGACAAACATCTCATAATGAGTCAAGGCAAAGAAAAACACCGTTGGGTCAGATAAGGTTACGTTACATCACGTGATAAATGGGTTCAAATTTTGGAGCAGCATCTTACCATTTCCAAACTTCTTGTTCTTCTTCTTCTTTTTTTTTCTTTTTAGGACTTGGTTGTGACGATGTAGACGTATTATTTTCTTTTGCATTTGGTTTTCGTTTCTTTTTCGGTTTCTATATACATATATAAAAAAAAGTATTACTCTTAAGTGTACTCCTAGACAGTAAAGAATTGTGTATTATTTGTCTCACCTCTTCAGGCTCTTCGTAATCATCTTCATCTTCACTATCCTTCTTCTTCCTTTTCTTTTTAGATACAGGCTCTTTTTTGGGTTTTTTTCGAGCTGCCAAGGGAATATCATCATCACTATCTGACAAAGCCTTTCTCTTTGTACCTGGTGTTGATCTACTAGACTGCATTGATTGAAAAATAAGTAAATAAGTTACAAATAACAATATATAATTATAATTAATTTGATCCATACCAATGGCTTATCTTCATCAGACTCTTCTTCAGTTTTCATGGTACTATTGTACATTTCAGAAAGTCTAGTGTCAGCAGTTGAATCTAAGCTATTTTCTTCTTTCATTTCTTCATCTTCTTCTTTGATGTATAGACGTTGGCTATCATCTCCGCTATCATAATCGTCATCTGCCTCTTTAAACGATTCTTGTTGCTTCAGAAAATATAACATTTCATTAACGATTAGACTTAAATTTTGCGTGTGAAAATAGTGTAAATAAAAACAAAAGAATTGCAAAAAAAACGTTACCACTTTAACTTCAATTTTAACTTCAGACTTAATTTGTAAATCAGACTCTTCTTTGATTACAAGTTCTTCTTTTATCTTAGGCTCTTCTTTAATTTTTTCCTTCTTTTCCTTTTCATCACGATGTTTAGCTGTAAAACGTATTCTTGTATAAAATAACCGTAAAACAAGAGTTTGTATTAAAACATACTATCCTTAACCTACATTTTTCTTTATCATGCCGATGCTTATCACGGTCTTTCTTGTCTTTTTCGGGGGAACTTTTCTCTTTGTGCTTTTCACTTGAGTGAGAGCTGGAATGACGTTCCTTGTCCTTATCGGAGGAATGCTTTTTTTCTTTATCCTTAGAGCTCTTCTCTTTTTCTTTATCCTTGTCACGAGAGGAACTTTGTGAAGAACTGTGCCGATCTTTGTGTCTTTCCTTATCTTTATCCTTATTTCTTTCTTTATCTTTTGAGCTACTGCTATGGTGTCTGCAAAAAATATGATTTTAGAGCTTTTGTAAGTGGTAAAAAAATTTCGCATAAAACTGTTATACTCACTTGTCTTTGTCTTTAGAGCTGGAACTTGATTTATGGTCTTTGCTTCTCTCCTTGTCACGATTAGAACTAACAGATGAGCTCTTGTGCTCTTTGTCTTTGTCTCGACTCGAAGAACTACTCTTCTTGTCCTTGGACTCTTTATCCTTGTCCCTACTTTTTTCTTTATCTTTACTACTACTACTACTGTGCTTCTCTTTGCTCTTATCTTTAGAGGAACTTGAGCTGTGCTTGTCCTTATGACGATCCTTGTCCCGATGTTCGCTTTTATGACTCTTTTCTTTATCTTTACTCCTTTCTTTATCCTTATGTTCAGACTTGTGACTCCGTTCCTTATCCTTTTCTTTATACTCAGACTTATGCTCTTTTTTGTGTTCGTAACCATTAGTCATGCCATTCATTTGAGCATCTAAATAATAACACAATAAATAATAATATTCTTTCATGTTATGTTTTGATTTTAAATTTATCATGCATCACACAATTATATATTATTTAAATTAAAGCTTTCTCCAAAATTGTTTTAAAACTATAGTGTTCTTTTAAAGGATATCAGATGTGTTCTTGTAAGTACTATTAGAACATCAAATACAAAATTGTCAAAATATGATAATTATTTCAATGTTTTGAATTTTTTCTTACTTAAACTAGAAAATTGTTTCTTCCGTCATAAAAAAAAAAACTTCAAACACAAAACTAGGACCTTAGGTATAACTTTTTATGAACATTACGAACAAAAAAACAAAAAAAGAAATGTTTATCAGATAAAAAAAAGAAAAAAATTTAAAATATTTATACAATAATCAATCGACTTCAAAGCATCAAAAATTTGCCAACGATCGGTCAGGTTACTACCTGTTACTCCGACTCGGTAAGATACAAAAAGCTGATTCGATATAACGTGCTAAAAAGTGGAAATAAAAGTGAAACTGTTAAGACGCGGAAAATAATACTACTTAATCACTTAGTCAGCGTGTAGCCATGGGAAAAATGTGGAAGGAAAAAAAAAGTGATTGAGAAAAGAACGTAAGTAACAGTTCGTCCGTCCGCACGCAAGCGGCGATCGGAGTCGGCTGGCCGTTCTCTTTAAATTTAAAATCTCGGCCTGGCCCACAAAAACCGCATCGTAACTTCGAGAGCTGTCGCAAAGCCGAGAAGGATCCGATGAGCGAGAGAGAAAAAGAAAATCAATTTGCTTCGTCGATTCGAAAACCGGAGCACGTGCCGAATATATGTGTATATACGTGTGCACATATATTTATATAAATAGTGTTCTGCGACTCTGCGATTCTTTCTGATAGTCTGCAGTTACCCGTCGACGACAGAACGTATGATGTGTTGCCTCAAGAGCGGCACATTCGGAAGATACAAAATGAGTTGAATAAAAAAAAAAGGTCCTTCCCCTCAGCGTCCTGGAGGCACGACTTACCTCCATGGTTGCCAGCCGCGCTACTGTTCTCCTTGGCCTTTTTGTCCTGCGAAAAAAGCAGATATTAAGCGTGCATGTCTCAAGACATCATAAAAAAATTGAAGTAAAATGATTTTGTTAGTAAATGTACATGTTTAATCTTTCAATTATCACGTCTACTGGAGCTCATGTTTTTTTGAGCTATATATTAACATCTTCCCAAGGATATAAGCAGCGCTTTCTTAAGAATTAAATATTTAACAAACAAGTACTACAACTGTCTTACAAAGCAATAGATGAACTTGAATACTTGGTATTTTTTTCAAAAAAAATTTTTTTTTTCTATATATATATATTATTTAGATAAATGTAGCAATAAAGTGATACACAGAGACGCGCCGCGAGTCGGGACATAGCCTCTGGACGATAAGAAACGCTTACGTGTTGTAGAGAGAGCAATTGAGGGGAACTTAGTCGCAGACGCCATATTGGGACTTAGAAAAATTTCGCTCGGCGGAGGAGCGGCCAAGAGCGAAGAGGTCGAAGGGGGGCTCGGATCGAAAAAGTAAACTCGTGACGAGCTTCGTCGTCGAGGATAGAACAGAAATGGCCACTTACCGGGTCGACCTCGGCCCTGGATACTGGCAGCTCAACCTCCATTTTCTCCCACGTACGGGTGATAGTCTCTGGCGTGCTTGGCCGCAGCTGTCTCCTGCGAGAGAGCCGTAGCCCGAGTACTTGCTTGCTGCTCTGCTGACCGCCGTCGAGAGACTAAGTTGCTTTCTCGTTCTCTGCTCTCTACACGCTTCTCTTTCTCTCTTGCAACTTCTCTCCTCTGGAAGCGCGACGACGACCGCAACGCCAAAGTCCCGACCAACAGCGGCAAAGATACGTTTACTTATCTTCACACGCTCGCGTTCGAAGACAATTCTTCTCGTCTTCGTGGTCGTCCTCTCCCCTTTTTCATATACTTTTTTATCAAGAACAAAACTGCGTTTGCGTTCGAATGTCGCGCAACAACGAGCGTAGCAAACTTCGACTTATGATTCGCATGTCGCACCTTCTTCGCACGGAAATACGACAAACACCCAACAACTAACGTATCGGAACGTATAATAATGTACACTTAACCCGAACGTCCCGAAGCCAGCCAGCGTCTAAGTGCTGAAAATGTACAACTGCGCATGTGCAGGCTCTTAACTCTATCCTTTTGATCGAATCGAATCGTCGAACGGCGAGATGAAAATAGAGATAAAAAGATGAAACTTAATCACGACCACAAGATACATTTACTCATGATTAAGGAATAAATATATATTTTACACCGCTGTGATAATATGACTTTTCATATTTATGGATTTTGCGAAAAAGTACGATAATGCTAATCCTCCCCGAAGGCCAATAGTTTTTTTTAAGGTGGTTAACATACAGCAGTTAATCAATAATTCGAAGCTTCTTTTTCGCGGTCACTTATTGGAGCTGCATACTTAACTGATGAAATTTGACTACATAATTTTTATTGTATCAAATTAAATTAATTAACTACTAAATAAATTTGAATTTATCAAGTACATTTTTTAATAAAAAGACATTATTCTCGCTTTGAAAAAAATTGTGATTTCTAGAAATCTTCAACATATTTTTTATAATTTTGCATTTTATCGTAAAGTGAAAAATAAATAAATTACATTTTTTTTAATGAATTTCAGTTAAAGAATATGAAAGAAAAATTCAAAGAACAGTTTATATATGATACAAAAATTGTGTTTTTCAAAAATTATAGCATATGCATGTAACTATGACATTTGACAGCTTGTAGATTGTTTCGTATAATATTGTATTAAAATAGAAAAAAAATGATTTAGGAAAAAGGTTTTACTTTTCTGAGATTCGTCAATTTTTTGTTCTTTTCATATTTGATTGTAAAACATTAATATTTAACTTGACTGTTGTGGGAACAAAACTTTTTAGTTTTTTTTGCAAATTAGAGTGTTTATTATTGATCGCTTAGAACTTGAGAATTTCAATGAAATATATCTAAAAAACTTTATTCCGGAGTGTACTTTAAAAATGCCTATTTGCGCTTATAAAAGTAAAAAATTGTATTCTTTTCATTTATGTTTATATAAAATTTCAAAAATAATAATTAAAAAATCATTTTTTTAAATCTTGTAGTCTGTGTACGAAGCTTAAAAAATATTAGTTCTTAAACACGTCAGATTTGATAAATAATCCTTTATACAGTACTGGCCCTTAGAGCGTTGGATGATAAAAGCAAACTACTTGTAGCCAGCTGTCCATTATATGATGTGAAAATATTAACTATATGGAAACGCTTTTTTTTTTTTTTTTTAAATCTTTACTTAGTGTTACTGATAATAAAAACATGGATTATATTGTACATTTGCAAATAAGGCGCTTTAGCACGAGAGCCAATCATGGCTCCTCAACAAAAGGGGAAACAAATGTAGATGTGTACATGTATTGTATATAAGTACTTGACAAAACAGTTTTTTCCGACAGCACGATTTTTGTCTGCACTAATAAGTATCGATATTTTATCATCTTTCTCTTCTTTTGTTTATCGCTTGCTTTTATATCCGTCATTACTTACTTGTACATCTTTAACTCAAATAATACTTTAATTTATTCGCTAGTATGTGACAATTGGCGAAACTTATATCGATTGCTTGAAGTAGACGGCCGTCAATGTTTATACGATAATTTTTATTATAATTTTATCTATTTTCTCTTGGAATGAAGATTTCATGACTTTCATTAAATTTATTGTTGTCTTACGATATAGAAGCTCTTTGGCCTTGCACAAATATTATTATAAAATTATCCTATGAGGTATATATGAGATAATATAAAAAAATACGTAGGAAAAAAGAAAATTATTGTATACATGAGTCCTTTATTGAAAAGTAATAACAAAAAAATAGTTAACAGAGTAATTGTATAAATCGTGCTTTACAGTAAGTATATGTATATCTACATCACATGACAAAATATATGAGTAAACGGCAAGCAAAATGCGCTTGTGTATAAAAAATTCAGATGCATAATTCGGGTATATGATTAAAAATGTACAATTTCAGGGTCAAGTTAATAATAATAATAATTACAATAATAAAGTAAATAAAGATCTATGGTGTATAATTCATCAAGCATATGTGCAAATTAAAAAAAATATCGATGATTCGCGCGTTTGTTTAACATTTAACATACTCGGGCTTGCCTTCGGCGTTCCAAACGGTTTTCATTTTTTGAAACGCGAAAACAGCGTAAATCGTTATCGCCTCCCATTCAGATTTGGAAAGTGTTCCGATTCGACGTATGTTTTCGTTTTTTTGCAAATAATCTTTTGCATGTTGAAACTCGTCGGGGTTATTTACAAGTTGAGCTCCCTGTGCTGGTGGATATGTTTCCAGAGCTCTCATCCTAAAGAGAAGGCCTCTGTTTTGGTTGTTCATTCTCCCGTTTTTTTCATCTTTCATCATTTTCTTGTAATAATCTTCAAATTTATCAAAAAAAATCATTTCCAAACCATACTTCAGAGCTAATTTGCGAAACATAGGCAGGTAGACCAGAAATTCTGGACAGTCAACTACTCCTTCCAAATGGAAGTTGTATTTTGCGCCAAACAATGGTGGCTTATCCTTGTCACATTGAAACTCAATACTATAAATGTCGTTGCCAAACTTATTATCGTCACTTTTCTGCCATCGTGAGACTAATTCATAAGCATTTGGTATTGTTCCAATAAAATAGCCTCCTGGTTTGAGACTCTCGCTTGCATTCTTCATCATACACTCTGCTTGAGGCAGAGATTCAAAACTGTAATGAAATGCAAATTGACAGGACACAAGATCCAGCTGCATACTAGGATCTTTATATTTTTCCCTTAGACGAACTTTACTGCAGTCGTAAGCATGAAACTCTGCTTTGAAATTAACCGGTTCCCTCTTACTACTCATTGTTTTGAAACGCTCGCTACACTGTTCGACCGACACCTCGGCAATGTCAGCGCAAATCAAATAATTTATCTTACTTTTATTCCATTTAAGTAAGTCTCCACCTTTGCCACAGCACATGTCTAGTACGCGCACTGGATCACCGTAATTTTTCTTTTCCTTGACTTTTTCTAGGTACTCATCTAAAAATGACAAAATAGTCATTCTTTCATTCAACCGTTTCATGTTAAAAAATTGTTATCTTGTATGAAATCCACTCACTGATTATCATGCTCTTGATCCAGTTATTGAAGTTCCTCATGGTGACGATGCGGCTTTCGTTCCTTGCATACAAACCCTTTTCCTCTAAGGTGTTGTAGTGACTGGCAACAACGTCGGTGTGATCCTTAATCCTTGCAGTATTCGTCTCTCCCCTAGGTGCCTTATTAATAGTCAAGATTTCTGGCAAGTCTGCCTCGGAAGCGCTTCTTTTTTTTGATGCCTCGATGAGCCGTGTTTGCTCCTCGGCCACAGCATCCCCGTCTTTCTGGCAGTACACCTTGAGGACATTTTCGCTGGTCTGGTTGCTGATGTCTGTGATCCCTGCACTCAGTTCTGACATACTAAAGTTACTTATTGCTGTTGTGTTGTTATACAACTGAAGCACGCTGAACTCTCTCTCTCTCTACTGCAGCTGATTGCAGTTTAACCGGAGCCACTGGAGGTGAGGAAAGGAGAAGGACGAAGACGACGCCGCAGCTGCGGCAAACACGAGTTGCTCCGAATTTGAGTATATATATGTTTGGTGTTTTGCTTACGTACGTTACTGCTTGCATACGGAAGTGTGGTAGTGAGGGTCCCCACGCCACCAAGCAGTCCAAGCACCAAGCACGCACAAGAACAAGTATGAGTGCACGAAAGGCCGCTCAGCTCACAACAAGTTGCAAGGCAGGCGGTTTCTATTTCATTTACTTAAGTACAGCTTATATTAATTGTTACGTGGGAAAGAGATTTGTTCAACATATACATATATATACACATTAACTTTATACATATATTTACTTTGGATTTTATCATTCTGGTAAAAAGAGCTCGGTGTAAGAAATAATACGTGAAGTTATATGTAGTAATTATAGTAATTACTTCTAAATAGTGCCATACGGTCGATTTTATTAAACCATATAAGTAGAATATCTACACTTTTGTAGATAAATTTTCGGATAAAAGATAAATTGTAAACTTGCCGCAAACAGCACAAAATATGTTAACTTATTATTGTCTATCTATTAAATTAGTTGCGGCTGGTTTATAATTAATTATATGGCTTTACTGGAAGTATATAGTAATAATTATTTGGATCAGCGCCATCTAGCGTCGCGGATTTCTGAACTAAAAAGTGGCCCTAAACTTTTCAACCAGAGCTTTAGCGCTTAGAGCCACTTAGCTTATTATAAACCAGCCGCAACTTATTTAGTAGCTATAAAATAAAAAAATAACGATATATGTGTTTTTGGCGGCAAGTTAACAATCTATCTTATGCTCAAAAATTTATCTTCAAAAGCATAAATACATAGGAGGTCGATTTTTTGGTAGAAAATAGATAGTTAACTTGCCGCCAAAAACACATGTCTGATTTTTTTTTTATTTTATAGCCACAAGATAAGTTGCGGCTGGTTTATAATAGGCTAAGTAGCTCTAAGCGCTTAAGCTCTGGTTGAAAAGTTTAGGGCCACTTTTTAGTTCAAAAATCCGCAACGCTAGATGGCGCTGATACAAATAATTTTAACTATAGAGCCATGTAATTAATTATAAACCAGCCGCAACTGATGTAATAGATTGAAGATAAAAAGTTAACATATTCTGTGCTGTTTGCGGCAAGTTTACAATGTATCTTTAACCAAAAATTGACCACTAAAGTATAGATATTCAACTTATATACTTTAATAAAATCGACCATATGGCACTTCTTATTAGTAGTGATTACTATAATTACTACACATAACTTCACGTATATCTTACACCGTACTCTCTTTACCAGAATGATAAAATCAGAGGCTGTATTCCGCAAATGCTACCAGCATGCATGCACGCATTATTGTGTAGGTACACAATTCAAAGTAGTATTTGGTATTACCTACCGAGAAAAGACACACTTACCAACCGCGGATGAATTTGCGACTTATACCCTTGACGTTCAAATTTGCAGACTCCCCGGAAAAATTAAAAAATCTTGAAGGGGAATATCGCAAAATTTAACTTCAATATAGATGTAGTGTTTGATTTTTCACTATTCGTATGTAATTAGTATAGGCTTAATGAATTGAGATCCTACTACAGATGAGTTACAATCTGTACAATTATCTCATTGCAAATAACAAGTATTCTTACAAACCTTCCATGCCTAATGGTATTTGTAATTTATCCGTAATACTTACTTACTTTTTACCAAAAAAATAATTTTTATTATTTCATACAGAAATAGTTTCTTAGCGTTTGGTACTTTAAGTGCTTTTAGTACTTCATCTATCATCTTTCCTGTTGCGATCCGCGCGCCACAAGCCGCTTGCCGTAAACCGTAAATTCCGTAAACTTCTCCAGTCTCTTCCATATTGGCTTCAGAATTGAACGGACAGTCGAATCCAGTTGGAGTTCGAAATCCGTGGCAATCGAGAATTCTAGAGTAATCTAGTTTTCTCAAACCAACAAAGATGAGAGCGAAGGTAATTATTAACAATCTCGGTGCATTATTTTTTTGTTATTGTTTTGTTTTGTCGCAAAATTTCGTTGGTCGCTTCTGTCGGAATCGACCCACGTCGTTTTCTGGAGAATTGTTGTGTTGTGCCGTCCTTTAAGTTAAACGTGTTTTGTTTTATTGTTAACAAGTTGACCTGTTTTATTATCTAAATTTGAATAATACGTGTTGTAAACAATCCGTTGTTGAGATTCTGCTGTTGCTGGCTATTTTTGGACATAACCTAACTGCATAAACACACTATGACTAGTAGTTCTTGGACCTTGAAAATTAGGGTTTCTTTCACTTTTAGGTGAAGCTAAATTATTTATTTATTTATTCCAGTGGCGTAAAAAGAGGATGCGAAGGCTAAAGCGCAAAAGGAGGAAGATGCGTGCGAGGTCCAAGTAAATCTCCCGTTTCTCATTCTGTAAGTACTTGTTTTATATTTTCCACTTTATTTATATTTTATGCCTTGAAACCCTAAACACAACTTGGTCATAGTTTTTATGCCGAAGTATTGTTTATTGTTTAACAGGATTTGCTTATTAATAAAATGAACTTGAGTCTCGCGTGTTTGTAGCTACCAATACAATTAGGATGCTTGTTAAAATCTTAAATTACAAGTTAATCTAAATAATATAACCAAAAGTTATTAAGTTAACGGATTATTTACAATATTTTATTTGGAATTGTATTGAATCTGTAATTGCACCATTGTAAGGGCTTTTGTAGCTCTATGTGTGTTGGCATACCCGACAAAAAAATTTAAATCAAGGACATTTGCTCTTTTTACCTAGATAAACTTCTCTCCAACTAAAAAAAAAAAAAAAAACGGCATCAAATTGAATTCTAAAAAAGTCGAAAATGAAAATAGTTCCAAAGATAAATGAATAATACAATCAACTACGTTTCTTAATGTATTAACCAAGCAAAGCAGAGTACTTTTAACAAACGTTTCTAATGTTCTGAAAGTGACCATGAATTTTTTTTTTGTTTCAGCTGTGGCATTAATATTGTGTAAGAATATTAATAACTGACCATCACCATCAGTATTGCAGAATTTTAGCTCAGAGAAATATTTTATAAATAACTTATCTTGTTTGGATTAATAAATAAGATTTTTCAAGATATACGAAACTGTTAAAAAATCATTTTCATTAACCTAGTACTTGATACATCCTTCATCCTTCTTATTTGACCAGTTATTTTGTGCAAAGCTTTCTTCTGGTTTCTTTTTACACTTAAGTTGTAAATAAGTACATGATATTAAAGTGTAAGAGCTCGAAAAGTTTTGAATATTTGAAAAATTGCATTCCTATTCTCAGTTATACAGCACTGTTTACCCCTTGTTTTACGTTTTCGTAAGAGAGTTACATTGTTTTTTCGTCATGCAAATTTGCAAATCTGATGTGCCCTATATGGATGAACGAACGCACGTTTTATACGTGTAATGTGTGCATATCTGAATACACGTAAGTATACTTGAATGTGCAGTCGAGCAGACGATGCACGTGCACTGTGCACACGAGGGTTATATACAAATCAGCATGTACGGAATCACTTCGCGTTTACTGTACAATTGCAGCACAGCGTCATACCGATCACATATGTGCCGATGTAAATCGATAAATGAAATCAATTACAGAAAACAGACCATTTCACAATGTCGTATCAATTACGCGAATAAAAAACTGAGTGACAGTGAAAATTTTGAGGAGGATAAAAGTGACGAGCATAACCTTCCTTCTGCTTTTGCGACTAAGTACAAAGTGTTCAGGGATGAGGATGCACCGGTGATATTTGATGTTAACGAAGAGAAAAAAAGAATTGCTCTTAGTGAGCTACATATCACAGAGACAGACCAAGAAGATCCTTACGCTGATATTAACTTGACTCGTGAGTTGTCAAATTATTCTGTATTCTAGATGTTAGATGAATTTTAGAGAACTTGTAAACTCAATATTTTCTAAAATCATTTTTCTGATTTTGCGTAGGTGGTACAACCGGAGTTTACGAGATTGAAGATTTAGTTGAAATTTTACAAAAAAATAATGCCAGGCAACTTTTTGTTGCATTAGTACCCAAAGAGAGCAGTTATGTCGATTATATAGTAGTGGTGACTGGGAAATCTTTCAGGCACATGCTAGCTCTTGCCACGACTATTCGTAAAATATTCAAGCTAAAAATGAATAAAAATGATCAAATTCCTAGAATAGAAGGTGAAAACTCTAAAGAGTGGGTTGCAATGGACCTAGGTAATATTGACTTTTATTGTTTATCATTTCATTAAAGCCTAAAGTTTTATTTTATAAATTGATGATTTAATTCAGGTAACATTGCACTTCATATATTTTCTCAAGAGGCGAGAAAGAAGTATGATTTAGAAACTCTTTGGGCTGTTGGCCCTCAACATGATGACTTGTGCAATCAGAAGGATGATGAAGATATCATGGACAAATATAAGTCGTTTTTGAAAGACCTACAGCCTGCTGAATAAAAAGATTTTTATCTCATTTTTTTATTGTACAGATTGTTTATTTAGTTTACTAGTTTGAGTTGAAATCTTGACAATCGTTCTAATAGTTATTTTTTATATAAATAAATAGTATTTACCAATTTTGCACTAAAATGTATAGTATTAACTGTCTAAACTGGCGGTGGGCATCGCTGCAAACTTCAAATTTTGGTGTGTGATAACGAATGAAAAAAATGTAAGTTTTGTGAATCAGCACCAACCATCTAGCAAATACTTAAGTGTAGCAGTGCTCTCATTTGACATTTCTTGGTGTTTGCGAAAAGTCGAATGCGCATGCGTGAAATTCGCTCTTTTTTTTATTCCTCTCTTCTCTCCTCTCTCTCGTTTAATCGACAGATTAACCAGCTTCTGATTTTGGTCTGATCGCGTCATCCGTCATCGACACCGTGTCGTATAGACCCCAGATTCAAGCTGCCAGTCTGCCACCTAATTTTATTTGAGGTGAATTGGGATTGGGTCTCAGTCACCCCATGCACCCGACGCGAGTACGCGGACAGAGTTAAAGCAGCAGTATACAAAATGTCAATCTGAGTATCTGACAATCAGGATGTTTTTGATTAGATATTCATATATACAAGTGTGTTGTGAATAAATGAGTTAATTACTTAGTACATACTCTAATAGTATATTGCCTAACGTATTGCAGAAGCGATGTACTAATTAGGTTTAAAAGGGAACATAATTTGAGCTTTTTGTTCGATATATACTTATAAAGTACCCATATTCAATACAAAAGGGGTACCCTACTTATTGTAATAAATATCCGTTGATTTTACCATGTGATTTTGAAGTCATTTGAGACAGTAACATTTATGTATGGTACCAGAGTTCAACATAAAGAAAGTTAGGAAGAAAATTACTCAATAAATGATTACGCACTTACGGGAAGTGATAGTGATAAGACACAGTTAAGTGTGTCATCTGATATTAGAGGCAAAAACAATGGTGACTTATTTACTTACTTTGAATGATCTATTTGTCGATTTTTAAGCCAAACCGATAGGAAATAAGACAAAACAAATAAAAAGTGACTTAATTATTCCTGTGAAACGTGTGTGGTGTGTTTACATAGACAATTTAAGGTCATATAGTATAATCACACAAAACCTTGATTTATTACTTAATAAAGTTAATAAGTGCTTGTCGTATTTTATAATGTCCGTGATGCAGAGAAACAGTCAAGATCATATGCTCTAAAAAAATTATTGAAAGAGAAATGACAACTATGACTCGGGAGGTAAATGAGATTTGTCAAAGGAAATCAACTAGATACATGAAGATACCTTTAAAGTCAAGGGAACAGGTATACCTGGTGTTCCTTGTACCCACTATTATTAGTTGCCTCGTGTATGTGTTACACTTTGCAGCTGACCTGGTTGTTGCACTGCAACATTACAGAGAAAACAATCCAGCATGGGCTTGCATTACTGTAGGATTTATGTATGCTCCTGCAGTGGCTTATTTTGTCTTGACAATTTCAAGACCCGACTGGTGGATGACCGATGATGATAAGCTGCACAAGGGAGCTTTTCTGTGGTGCCTGATGCAAATTGCCAAACTTGTGGCTTTTCCATTTTTTGCTCTTTACAGGTACTTAAAGAGATAAATCCATCTTAGATATTTAATAAGTAGTTACACTTAAAAGATGTTTTCCACACATTGTAATATTTGTTTCAGATTTGCTGGACTCATAGTATTGTCTGTAGATGCATTGCAGCTAAAAGGAGAAGAAAGAAAGAAAACACTGGACATTGCTGCAGCTCCAGCTGCGATTGAACTCTACTTCTTTCTTCAGGCTTGGTTCCAGGCTGCTCCTCAGGCATTTTTTCAAATGCACCTGTTATTAAGAGAAAGAAATACTCCAAGATCTGCACAATCTGGTAAATTTTTGTAATTAAAATTTTTCAAGTCATTTCAAGATAAGTAAAAATTAATTGAAATTTTACCGTGTTGCAGAGGTTATTCATGGGCTATGTATCTTAGTATCGATTTGTGTGATAGCCATCAAGACAACATCATTTCAGAGATATGAAAGCCAAAGAGTAGCTGGTAGAAAAGTACCTTGGGCAATGTGGCTAAAAAAATACAGGCTTCAGGTAATAACCTATTTAAATCTAATTAGTAAAGGCAAACTTCGTTTTTTTGTAATGCTTATGTTTATGTAACTCTAGATTGTATACTTAAAAACGAGTTTTATACTTTAGTTAAACTTAAGAAATGGGTTGTGTATATTTATTTGATAACAGTACCCAAACATTATATTTCAGGAACTTCAAAGTCTTGAAAAAAAACAGTTACTTTCATCATCTGTGACAACACCTCAAAAAGAAAGTGCTGAACCAATTCTTCAAGAAGAAATTTCAAATCAAGACAATCCTAATTATACATATACTATACAACGTCAAAACTCTGTGACTCCACCACTGCCACCAAAAAATGTCAAGATCATCCCACCTCCAGCTCCGCTTCGAGGAATAACGTCCATCACGCCGTTACCCATTCCAGACATGCCAGCACCACCTAGGCCAGATTCCATGGTTGATAGCAAAGACATAACGTTTGTTCGAGTTGAAGAACCATGGAAAGAAAATTTAATAATGTACCAGACTCTTGGTGATAAGACAGAGGTGACTTTTGAAAAAATTAACAGTATTAAAAGAAAAAATTATTCTAAAGGATTAGACGAAGATGATCCCGTGGGATCATTTCTATCGTTCTTGTGGTGGTTTTTATTCATATTAGCGCGCATATTATCAGTGGCCATATTTTTTGAATTTTACCCTTTATATGCGGTAGGAGTAATAGGGGCACATTACATTTTCATGATTACTTATTTATTTTATTACTCGAAGTATTTTGATGTAACAAGTTTCTTCATAAATTTGTGGCTCGGATTAGTGTATATTTTTAGTTTAATCGAATACAGAGTAAAATTTACGAAAGCCGACAAACTGGTTGCTTTTTACCATGTGTTTGTCATATTGCAAAATACTTTAATGACCATATGTTGGTACTTATACAGTGAATTTGAAGGATTCTGGTACTCATACTCATTTAACTTAATATTCATATGCATGAGTCTATGTCTCTTTTCAATGATAGTGTATACTTTTTTACTAAAGCCAGAAAAGCGTAGAGTGTATATCGCCCAAATATAATAAAATTTACAGTATGTGATACCTTTCTGGATATCTATTTACATTAACTATTTTTTAATCAAGAAATTTGGACTCCGAATCGCTCCAATTGGTGTTTTTAATAGTACGTATAGTTTTACAACATGTTAAGACTGAGCTAATTATAACAGATAGGGACTGCAATCTGTGTAGAATATGATTTCACGTTGTAATCAGCATCTTATAAACTATTTTGTGAAACACTAATTTATTATTTATATCGTAACTACATCACATAAATAATACACTCTAGTGTTACAATTTTTTACCTGGTAGACATATTTACAGATCCTTGTACAATATGTGCAATAAAAATATTTATACAAATACTTTGATTGTTTTTACAACTTTATAAAAGAAAATCCAAGCAAGCTATACAAACAAAATATACCAAAGTTTTATGCTTATTACAAAGTATTTAAAATTCCTTAAACATGTAGTTGAAACATTTTTCAAAAAAACTTTTTGCATTTAAGAAATAAAATAAAATTAAAATAGCGTTGTACTAGTGCGCATTTTTTAAACATTTATACTTGAATTTCTGTGAAGATTACCTAACTGTGCTTCAAATAAAATGTCATTAAGTAATTTTTCAGCAATAATTCTTTGATCCACTCCCATATGTCGAAGTTTAGCTGCAACATTTTTGCCAATCGCATCATATTCATCTTCAACAGTAACTGAGTTGTTGTGGTGAATTCTGATCATTTCTTCAGTAGCACTTTCTTGTGATTTTCTTTTTTTTATATTTGGAGATTCTAGCCATTCTACTTGATCAAATGAATTTTCATTAGACTGAAATTCTTCCTGAAAGTAACAGCAGTAAATTTTCTGAACTTTTTTTCATGAGTGTGTCTTTTATCAAGTTAAATGAAAAAAACATACAAGTGGACACATGTAAACTAACAAATTTTTTCTGTAGATTAAAATAATTATGAGTTTATGACTACATTTATAAAATACAAGATGTATTTACAATACTAAACTTCAAAGATTACAAAAAAAAAAAAAA